TGTCTCATGCTGTGAGTTTATTTAACTGCTGCAAAGTCTTGCTCAGCAGCAAACAGCAAGGAAATATTAACAATGAAGTTTGTCAGGAAAGAAGGTGCAGGAGTCACTCGCTTCCGGTCACGTGATGAGGATGATGACGTCACTGCAAGCGTAGAGGTGAAATCACTTGAAATCGAAAGTGAAAGTAAAGCTGAACAGCAGCTCGACGCCTGGTGAGACTATATTCCCTGCACCTCTGTGTTATATGCACGTGTGTTTCTTATTAGATATTATAAATATTGATATTATGTTTTGAATGCATTTTTTTCTAGAACCCATCTTCATGGGCTCATTGTGATCAGTTTCAGTAAAGATGGCGACGAGACCTGAAACACTTCCTGGTAAGAAGAAACTATGTTACACCGTTTAAGTGATAAGAAACAGTTTAGTTAATTTAGATGGTCTTAGTGTTAATTAATTAAAATTGAAATAATGCTCTTAAAGTCTAATTTGGTCCCTCTGAATATATTAGTTATATTTTTACTGACGGATGTTAAGAGACATTTTTAGTCCTGTTGAAGAAGATGCATGTTTTATTGTGCTCTTTAACTCGTGGAATGACCCTTGACTTTGGTTCCACATTAATACCACATATTTCCTGATTCTTTCAGAGATGTCAGCGATCAGCTCCAGTCCAGATGATCCAGTGATCCGGATTCTCCTGATGGGCAGAAACGCTTCTGGGAAAACCTCATCAGGGATCACTTTACTGGGAGAAAATGGATTTATAATGAGTCTGAAGTTTGTGAGGAGAAAATGTAGGTTGATGACAACTAGGTGAACGTGACTGATTCTTCAAAATGTGCATAATATCGGCCTACTCGTCTCTGGGACCGAAGAAGAAACTTAGAAGTGCACCTCCCACTTTGAAAAACCTGCTGATCTCCAACGGGATTGAGTGGCGGAGGAACAGCAAATCACACGAGTGAACTGGACCGGAATATTCAAACTCATGGTCTTGTAGCAGAGGCTGCCGCCGGGCGCATGCGCAAAGTAAATGCGTGTTTATTATGGTCGTCGCTATTTTAAAGACGATTCTTAACTTCACGTGCATATAAGAACGTCCGCAATAAGTTGCCTGGAATATAATGAAACGGAGAAACAGAGCTAACAAAGATTTAAACAAACAGTTTATCAATACAGGGTGAATGAATGTCGATAATTAAAGAGAAAAATGACAAGTTTTTAAGAGGTATGTATGCTATGTTTACTTTAATAGCCTAAAAATGTTGCGTGTGTGGATGCATTAGGTGCGAGAGCGCGTTGTAACTTGATGATCATAACTTGATTCGTAGAGTCGTCCCATATTTCTCTTCTCGGGTAAAGCGACATTCTTCCTTCATACAGCACATGCAACAGAAGAGGGAGGGACTCGAGCTCAGAACGCAAAACGATGGCTGCCCGTACAGTTTGTGTGCAGTTTGAATGCTGATAAGTTAAGCGAAAGGTGTTTAAATCCCAAAGAAGCATTATGCGTGCTTATTTTTATTTAAGAACCCAAGAACATAACTTAAGTTGATTTGTGCAGCGCTATATGACCCCTGTCAGATATCTATAGGGTCCAAAAAAAAATCCACTCGTGCCATTTTTCTAACAATACAGGCAGAAAGGAGCCGGAGAGTCAGGCTTAAAACGCCCGCAAGATGCAGTGCTGCGCATGCGCGACATTCTCTGGGTTGTTTGCAAGAACAGCGTCAGATATTGTCTAACTTATAGTTTCTATATCACTGGGTATAGCCTATGACTTCCAATCATATTTATTTAGTCTATATTGGTACATAAACTCAAATACAAAGAAATAAGTTAAAATAAAATAGGCTATCAACTCAATAATTTGACAATACAAAAAAGGAGCCAAAATGGCCAAAAAGCCAACATGGAGTCAGCAGAAGCTATTGTTTATTTAACCTTCTGTCACCTTCATGTTCATTCAGTCTGTGATGAAATGTTTATTTATGCACCATCTCAACAGAAAGTGGACATTCAACAGTATCTTATCAAAGGCTGCTTAAAAAAAAGAAGAAGAATGAAGGGAATCCTCTTAAATGCAGAATATTCTTTGAAATGCTTATATGCACTTTTAGAAATATATCAGCAAATGGTCAATTATAGAAGATGATCCTCTGAACATTTTCACGGTGTTAAATGACATTTTACAGAAATGTTTAATGTTTATTCCAAGAAAACACGTGTCATGCAATAATATATTGCAGTAATTTGTTCTGTGATTAAAAACAGGTTCTTCATTTGAGTGCAAACATGCACAACATCACAGTGTCGTGTGCAGAGATTTATACTGCAGTGGGGTTTCAGTATGTGATTCTGCCTGTTATACTGAATCAAACTGATAATCCAGACTGCGATCAGAGCTGGTATGCACAGGTGAGTGTGTTTCTGTCATCAAACTACACCATTATACACACACACAGATACATTACTTCATCCTTTTTTGTTTGATTTGGACCAGGATGATCGTCTGATAGCAGATCCAGCGGATCCTCAGAAACTGATTGATCCTGTTATTTCTGTCTCATTTGATCGTCTCGTCACATCTCACTGTGTGGATGAACTTCGTCACGAGATCATCTGTCATTCTGATGGGGTAAATCAACTCAATCTCTCTCGACATTCATCTGTTTTCATATTTAATCACACAGTAGTGATGATGATTGTGTTCATCAGAATATTAAACGTAAAAAAACAATAAACTGCACTCATGAACATTCTAAATGATGCTCTAACACTTCTGTCCTTCATCTCAGTTAAAATATGAGACTATGTTCAGAGGTGAGAGAAACACTTCAACGCTTGATGTTTCTGATGGACAGATGATGATCTTTAAAGAGACAGTTCACACAGAAATCTCCCTCATGTTGTTCCAAATTTGACGTTCTTTCCTTTGTGAAACACAAAAGCAGAATCTTTGAAGAAAAGATCAGTGTTTTTGAAATCATAGAGGTTTGGAGTGCCATGAAGGAGAGTAAATGATGACTGAGCTTCATTTCTGTCCCTTTTCAGATACTACACTGCCATGAAGGAGAGTAAATGATGACTGAGCTTCATTTCTGTCCATTTTCAGATCATACACATCAAATACATTCATATGAGAATCATTGTCATAACTGCAAATGTTCATTAAAAGAGACACACATCTGTCCTGATTCATCTGAAATGTGTTTTTGATTGAAGTGAATCCTGATGATTGTGAATGTGTTTTTCAGTGTTTAATGACACCGACTCCATCAGCGGATCGACTCAAACTCCAGAATCACGTGAGTTCAGCTGATGATTGACAGCATGATATACAGTTCATTAATTCAGTCCATCAGATGATTTTATTGTGCTGTTGCTCGTATAGATCAGTGGTGGTGGATTTCTGCTCTGATCTTCATTGTTCTTCTGGCATTTCTCTGTTTCTTGCTGCGTAAAAGGATCTTCAGGTGAGTCTCGAGTCTTTAATTGTGTCAGAGAGAGTTTAAAATAGTCATAGAAACTAAATGACGAGACTGACAATATAAGTGAAAATATCATTTAGGATTTGACTCCTTTAACAGACAGAGGCATATCTGTCATAAAGTCATATTTAATGATGAAATCAGTGGGATGAACTATAAAGTCTCTCTCATTAAATACTTTGAGTATAATAATATAATAATCAGTTTCAATCTGTTGTCAGATGTTTTCCGAGTGTCTTTCAGTGCAGTGATTCAGAAAACAGGTGAGTGAATCAAAGCGAGAGAAAGAAAGTCTTGACCTGAGTTTGACTGATTCACATCAACATTTGTGTTTGAGTTGATACTCTCTGAATCTTCTTCTGCTGAAACTGCCTCTTTTTTCTCTCAGGGATCCTGAACCTGGTGTCCAAATGAAGCTCAGATCTGATCAATCTGATTCACTGAATCAATCTGAATCTGAGCAGATCAACGGCTCCGTGTCCAGAGGATGATCTTCTTCATCATCATCACTGTTATTTACTCAGACTCAGGCTCCTCGGGAGATTTTTTTGCTTCATTCTGAGCTTCTTAACTCTTATTCTATTCTCGTTCATCTGCATCTGTCTGTTTTATTACTATACTTTTATGCAATTGTAAATTTGGTTGTACACAATATATTATTTTTCTGAATGCTGTGTTCTCTATTTTTTAAAGTTCTTAAATATGTATTATAATATATTGATAATAAATTAGATGAGACGGGCTGAAGTACTGCATCAACCTGTTCTTTAATGTGATTCTCAATTTCAGTTTAATGCAGGAACATAGTTTTAACTTCAGCTCAGATTTATATCACATCTCGCGTGTTTCAGTCAATGAAAGCCTGTGCCAGGACTTCAACTGCAAACGAGATACTGGGACACCAAACTAAAGCGAAAGTGCACAACAAACTAGGGATTCATTTTTAAATGGATAGCTCACTGTGGCGTTCTGTAATATTGTTTTATGTTTTTACATTATGTAGCCTAAACAAATAGAATGTCAAAACATTGCTAAATGTGGCCGAATTATAAAAGCCAGAAGAAATGAAGAGCTTGATTTGGAGCCGATAGAGCCTGTTTTCATTTCTGGAGATGAAACCAAACGCTCCGCCTTTCAAAAAGAGGGTCGGAATAGTGTAAAAACACAATAAACGCTTGCTCTCATTGGTCGAATCCACCTCGCGTTCATGTTTGGCCCCTCCTTCCCCCTGCGCCTATACGCTTCACTTGAGCTGCTGGAGCAAACGCTTTTCTAATCTAGTTCAAGAGGAATTTCATTCAGCTTTTGCTCCACTCACACAAGCAAAGCATCCGCTAAAGGTATGAACTATATTTACTATAAGCTGCATGTTTAAATACAGTTTGACAGTGAACCGCTTTTATAGCCTCACATGTTTTTTTTTATATGTGGTCAAAACTGTTAACAGTTCGTAGGAATCTTTTCTGCGGGAAAAGAAGGGCATGTTCAAATGTAAATCGTTTATTATGATTATGAGTGACTCTCTTGATTTCATGCCACTCTTCAATTCTTGAATGTCAATAACTTTATCACTAATTTAACTTTACTCACAGCGCGTTATAATCACTCGATCATCCATAGAGCGAAATTCACGAACGTGTGGACACAGTGTACATTAAATGAGAAATTTAATGCACAAACACAGAACTGCACGCGCTTCATCAGGTCTGTTCGAGCGACAGGAGCGCGCTGCAATCCAGCAGGTTTCGGGAAGGAATCATTCTGTCATTATTTATTTAAACCAAAGTTATAATGAAGGTATGACAAGCGTTTAAATATAGTTTGACTGCATGAACCGTTTTTATGATTATCATGTTATCAGGTTAAACTATACAGTTGAAGTAGCAGATCTAAGTAAAGCAGCAATTCTGTCACAGATTGATGCTCGATATGTAACTCTCTTGGTTTTCTTATGACTGGTTAGAATACACCCATTCACTCTATTCCAATAGCGAGGCGCGTTCAGTTGCATCAGTCCGCACGGAAAACACTCTCTGTTCCTGTGTCACTGTGCATGAAGATGAAGTGCTGTGCTTTGGGCAAAGGAAATGTTCATTGTGAGAGCGAGTCTCTGTGTTTGCTGGTTTCACACACAGTATCTTCTCTGTTGTCCAATTAAATACGATTAAAATTTGAAATAGCTTTTTAAAGATTTGACGAGTACTGGTCTATTCACTGTTATTACAATGGCGCCGTGCTGCACTCTGCTACTTACAAATATCTATATGTAATTGTTGCATTTTATAATATGCCTATCGATTTGCTGAAATATTATATTTTTGAGTGAAGAACAGAGTGGAATTTAAGTCATTTGTTTTCCATGCTTTTGTGATGAGAAATCCTAGAATATGTTTTTCTGCTTAAAATGCACGTCAGTACACTTTTCCCACGGACATGTAAATGTTTGTTAAGGTGTAAAATGTTTATTAAACATGTAAATGTTTGTTATTGGAAACCACTTAACATGCAGTAATTTCTTATGTGATTTTAAATGATTTTCCAGTTTTTTTCAGCATTGAAAGATGGACATCATCAATGTGTCGTGTGCAGAGATTCAGACTCCAGTGGGGTTTGTGTATGTGATTCTGCCTGTTTTACTGAATCACACCAATAATCCTGAGTGTGAGCAGAGCTGGTATCTACAGGTGAGTGTGTTTCTGTCCTCTAACTACACCATTACGCACACACACACACACACACACACACAATCTGATTCATTTGTTCAGGACGGGCGTCTTATAGCAGATCCATCAGATCCTCAAACACTGATTAATCCTGCGACGGCTGTATCATCGGATCATCTCGTAACGTCTCACTGTGTGAATCTGAATCATGAGATCCGCTGTGATTCTGCTGCTAGAGTAAATCAGCTCAATCTCTATATCTCTATATTTAATCCTTCATGAACAATATAAATGATGCTGTAATGCTTCTTTCCTTCATTTCAGTCTCATTTCAGTCGTGTGACCGCATTTAGAGGTGAGAGAAACAGTGAAACACATCAGTGTGCATGTCCTGATTGAGATCAAACTCTGTGTTGAACTGAATCTTCTGTGAATCTTCAAGTGAATCATGATGATTGTGAATCTGTTTTTCAGCGAAGAATGAAACTGCAGCGACTCCAGACTCAGGTGAGTTTCAGCTGATAAACGTCTGATTATTCACTAATAAAACACTGCAGATCTGATTCACACTCAATCCACTTTCACTCTTTTATCTCACACTGACTCATATTTATCATCACAGTGTGTTTTTAAAGATGATCGGAAAGAAGTGACTCTTCAGCACAGTACAACATTCACAGCTTTATTAATCTTTCTAATATTGATTAATCATAATAGATCAGCTGATATGATATTTGATCACTTGTTTAGATCAGCTGTGGTGGCTTCTGGCTGTTTTCATCATCATTGTTCTGGTATTTCTCGGTTTCTTGCTGCGTAAAAGGATCTTCAGGTGAGACTGATGTCATCATTCACCAATTCAGTTTTTATTCATCAGTTTCAATTCAATTTATTCATTTCAATAAATCACATGAACAGTTTAGATCTGAAACAGATGTTGAGACATTTGCTTTATGAAGCTTCATGTGCTGCATCTATTAGGACACTGATGAAGGCTAGATCTGATGATCCTCATGCAGCGCAGGAAGGAAATTTGAGATTTAATCAACATCACTGGTCATTCATTCTTCATATCTATTCAAACAGAACGAGGCACAAAGCTGATTTCCAGAACCTTCACCGTCTCTGTTCCTCTGATCCGCAAGCCTCCATACCATCTGCTGAAGACATCTGAACCAAACCACATATCTACTCGTACTGAAGTCGATTTCCAGAACCTTCACCGTCTCTGTTCCTCTGATCCGCAAGTCTCCAAACCATCTGCTGAAAACATCTGAACCAAACCACATATCTACTCGTACTGAAGTCGATTTCCAGAACCTTCACCGTCTCTGTTCCTCTGATCCGCAAGCCTCCATACCATCTGCTGAAGACATCTGAACCAAACCACATATCTACTCGTACTGAAGTCGATTTCCAGAACCTTCACCGTCTCTGTTCCTCTGATCCGCAAACCTCCATACCATCTGCTGAAGACATCTGAACCAAACCACATATCTACTCGTACTGAAGTCGATTTCCAGAACCTTCACCGTCTCTGTTCCTCTGATCCGCAAACCTCCATACCATCTGCTGAAGACATCTGAACCAAACCACATATCTACTCATACTGAAGTCGATTTCCAGAACCTTCACCGTCTCTGTTCCTCTGATCCGCAAACCTCCATACCATCTGCTGAAGACATCTGAACCAAACCACATATCTACTCGTACTGAAGTCGATTTCCAGAACCTTCACTGTCTCTGTTCCTCTGATCCGCAAACCTCCATACCATCTGCTGAAGACATCTGAACCAAACCACAACCTTAAAAACCAAGGCACTTACCACAAACAATTATTCTTTTCTGTGTTTTATTTCTGCTCTGACTTGTTTCTTGATCTAGCTTTGAAACGAACCTGTCAATTAGGATAAAAGTGTCTGATAAATGAGTAAATGTAAATGAAAACGGTTAATTTTTAATGTTGTTTATTCACTGTATGTTTCTGGGGTATGGGGTAATAAAATGTACTTTAAATTACTTGATTTCAGATTTGAAATCTGTTCCTTACATTTTTATTAAACTCTTGCTATTTTTAAACTATATGTGCATATTAGTTTTGATTTTAAATGACAGTTCACCCAAAAAGGATCATTCTGCCCTCATTTATTCATCCTCATGTGGTTCAACATGTACAATTTACTTTCTTGTATGAAAGCTACGACTTGTTATAAAATTTTAGCCAGGAAAGGAAGATTTGATATAGGTGGATATTTATTTAAATTATACAAATCCATGTTGTGCTTCTTGAGTACTGGGGTAACAGCAGCAAACAACCCAGTAGGAAGGGCATCAGGTACACAAGTAGTTGAAACAACTGTAACAAGTGAGGCAAAATCAGGCTGTACAAAATTTAAACGAAACACTCTGCACACTAGCATGAGAACTATCAGGACATTTTTCCCAGTCGTCTCAAAGGTTCCAGTTGAGTGGGTACAACAGTTAGCGAAAGCTGATTACAGTTTCTTAAGTTTTAAATATGGATATTTTTCTTACACGAACGCATTGCTTCTAATCAGAAGGCATTTATTAATCCCCGGAGCTGTGTGTAACACTTTTTATGATGGATTTATTAACTTCAATTTGCTTCAAAATCTAAACCCCCATTCACTACCATTATAAAGCTTGGAAGGACATTTTAATAGAACTCCGACTGGATTCGTCTGAAAGAAGAAAGTCATATACACCTAGGATGACTTGCGGGTGACAACTGGATGGATGTCTGTTATTTACTGTTTTTGGCTATTTTAAGTAGAAATGAGCAGACATCTCTTACTAGTCCATGCTGTGTTTGAATCCTTTTAACAATTTTTTTTTTCTCACAAATATTCCACAGTTCGAGTATTTCACTTTCATTTTTGGAATTAATTCTTCAATGAAATTAATTCATAAAATGGCTTGAATGATTTTTGAAATGAAATTTGCATCAATTATCTTTGTCATTTCTTAGGCCCTGTCCACACGAACGCGTTTTTTTTCAAAACCGTAGCTTTTTCTACGCGGTTCAAATCATCAAATCTCAGCAAAAAATATATTTTATATATGTTCATTTAGATTTGTTTGTAAAATAATATGCATGATATAATATTAAAATATAAATAACTGTATTTTTAAATGCATTGAATTATTGAAAACGTACACATTTTTGAATGATTTCAATTTAATTTTTTTAATAGCTAGTAAACTAGTAATTCTACACATTCTCAACTAATATGTTTTAAGCAGTGTATTAGTAGTTAGTTAGTATGCTACACTCTAAGAAAAGGGTTGCCAAATAAATTTTTTTAAATGGCTAAATTTGTTGCTAGGTGCTTTTGGAAGAAAAGGTTGCTAGGGTAGTCTGAAAAGTTGCTAAATTTAGCAACAAAATTGCTAAATTGGCAACACTGCCAGGGTAAAGATTTGAGCCTACACTGTGATCTACACAGTTATCTCCGCCTACTGGAAACTTTTTCAGGCTTCTGATTGGCCAACATGGCTTTATGGTTGAGATTATATCGCCACCTGTTGGCATTTTTTGCAGATATATTTTGTAAAATATGTAGGACAGTAATTGCAATAGGCTGTTATGTGGACTGCGTATAGAACAAGGTGTGGGTATGTTGGCATGGATGCCAGAGAGTAATTTGTATGCGTGTACTAATATGTGTGCAAGCGTATGTGCATGAACTTGCAGAGAGAGAGAAATTCTGCACCACAAATCCCACGGCTGTGTACACTGAAAAAAAAAGAGATTAATTAAATTTATTCATTTTAATTAATTTTAAGGTAAGTGATTGCAATCAATTTATTTGGGCTATATTTAAATAAACAAATTTAGCTGAAAGTCAACTAAATTAGTTTATTTAAATGTAGCTAAAATAAATTGATTGCAACCACTTACCTTAAAAAAAAAAATAGTATATATATTTTTTTCAGTGTAGGAGCTTTGCTGGCATCTAATGGAAAACGTTTGGGTATTGTGCTCAAAAAAATCTCAATGAAAGCTAATTTTTTTTAGGTATCATCAACCTCAAAAACACAATTTGTTTAGATTCATGATTTTAGATTTTATGCTTTTCTAGCAGTTTTTAAGTTCAAGCTGTTTTCCCCCCATTTTTTTCAACAATAATCTGCCAAAGGTCTTCTTTAAAATGGGACCAAACTTAAGTTTATGCTCTAAAGCTATATTTTTTTATTTTTTTATGACAGTTTAACTCTAAGGACCTCAGATAACTTTAATTTTAAAATTATGCAGGGTTAAATTAATGTAGTTAATATGTCTGTGGATGGCATAGGCCAGGGGTCTGCAAACCTTCAACGTCAAAAGAGCCATTTTGGCCACTTTCCCACCAAATAAAGTTCATGTGGAGCCAAAAATATAACACGGCATATAGCTAAAGTTTTTTTTATTCAGTTATGTTACAGGGCAGAGGAGTAGCAAACTTTTCAGAAGTGAGGGGGACAGAAATGTCAAATAATAATAATTATTATTATGTATGTATAATTGACAAAAATACCACTATATACCACTAAATATGGACAATAACCAATAATTTGTCTTCTATAATATTTTTTATATATATTTGTACTAATGACAATTTTATGGTTATGATTGTATAATCAGTATACTACAAACACTTTTTCCATTTTTATCACAGAATAAGGCAGAAAATATATTTTATAGCTTCTGTAACCAGCTTCTGTAATTAATGCTGTCAATTAGCTACCACTGTATAGACTTGGAAAAACATGCATAAACCATATAGTCTTTACATTTCATCAGTTAAGGTTTATGCTTGTTATTCAGCTTAGCTACAACAATAGTGGGATGCCTTTGTCCATATTAGGGATTTACCTCCCCCGCGTATTGTTTTATGGTAGGTTTATTTTAACTGATAGAGACAGAATATCAAACAAAAAATCCAGAAAAAAGACAAATGTTAAAAAAGATTTACATTTCAGTGAGTAAAATACGTATTTGATCCCCTACCAACCAGCAAGAATTCTGGCTCCCACAGATTGGTTATGTGTCCATGTGGTGCACAGATTAGTCCTGTCACTTTAAGAAGTTACTCCTAATGTCAGCTCATTAGGTGTCTAAGACATCTGTCCACACAATCTGTATCTTCCATTCCAGCCTCTCCCACCACCATGGGCAAGACCAAAGAGCTGTCAAAGGATGTCAGAGACAAGATTGTAGATCTGCACAAGGCTGGAATGGGCTACAAGACCACTTGTAGGAGACAACTATTGGTGCGATTATTTGAAAATGGAAGAAATACAAAACAACCATCAATCGGCCTCGGTCTGGAGCTCCGTGCAAGATCTCGCCTCATAGGGTAAGGATG